TAATTCGCTTTAACATTGATCCATGTGAACAGAAACGTAGCTAATTCTTTCGTGACGGTGCACAGACCCTGAAACATGCCCAGTTTAATGTGAGTGTGGGTAGGGATGAGGCGATGTTCATTAAATTTTGTTTCAGCCCCTTTGAAGCGTTAGAGACAGTATTAAGGGTCGAATATTATGGAAGTGTTTTAATGGAGTTCAAATTCGTATTTGAAAAAAGGTATACAGATATTAACATTTCCTCCTTAAATTTATGGTACAAAATAAAAATGTATTTTTTTTCACAACACTGTTTCAAACTTAAAAATATTTGTTATGAAACTGTAGGCATTTATATCAACAATTCTGTCACAAATTAAATTTTACAATAAAAATAGTTTTATAACCTCAAATGAAATCTTATATATGCCAGTCGTCTGGCTCAGTGCTTATTTAACGATGCTGTATAAAATACAAATATTTATAATTAGTGGTTAGAATTTAGCTAAAATCTGTGGAACTAGGCATTGTCCGTGAATACGGAGCAGCGGAAAATTATATTAATATGGAAAACAAAGAGATTTGAGGAAAACCTATCACAGTGCCACTAACCACCTGAGCTATAGCACGTTCCGAGGTAAATGTGTGAAGGTACATTTTAGCATGAGACATAGAATTGAAAGGATCTGCATGAAGTGACAGTCATTTTGTTGTAAAATATTAGTTTGAAAATATCGACGTTTAAGAAATAAAAAACACGGATATTTTTTAAACACTCACAATTCCCTTGTCCGCTCTGGAGTTGTGTTTACTTCTTTTGGTAATTCATATTTAGACTGTCAATTGACTGTTCCCGTTGAGATCTATTTTAAAATGATGTTACGCTTTGCCCCAATGATGGGCCCTAATGCTTTCTACCTATATGCGTTTCTCTTCTCACAGTCAACACTTGGTCGGCCCGTGCAAACAAGAGACACGGAACAAGGGAGAAACTTAAACAGCAAATGAAACTAAACAAACCGACACTAAATATTTAGGCACTGACAGAATATTTGGTCAGTGCGACGGACAAGCGCGGATATGAAGGTTTGTCAGAAAATACCTAGAGATGGCGATGTCATATTAACACGCATATAATATCAGATTTTAAAAGTATTCGACGAAATAATGAGTATGCTATTTGACTATTAAAATGTTACAGGAAATAGAGCCAAATGATTTACCAGTCCATCAGGTGATATTTTAGGTTAATGTAAAATTAAGTGAAAGGAATATGGAAGGAAACTATCGTATCATACAATAAAATCTTCTCGAGCAATCAGCCGCTTTAGCTAGTTACCGTAGTAAACCGACGTTTCGGGAACAAACTCTGTCCCCATCTTCAGGTTTCTGATGTGACTGTATCCTCGGAAGTCGCCTGTGTGTGTGAGTTTGTTCCCGAAACGTCAGTTTACTACGGTAACCATTTAACGCGGCTGATTGCCCGAGAAAATTTTATTGATTGTACTCGCCGCGAAAGTCTCAAATCCTATATCGTATCATAATTTAAGGTATTATCCCAGCATTTGCGTAGAGGAAATGAATAAAGTCAATGTAATCAGAATAATTAGTCTTCGAGCATTGGTTTTAGCCCATTTCTGCTTTGCGAGTTCTCCAGTGGTTCACGGCCTCAGGCCAAACTCAGGAATTTGCAGTATCACCAGCGCAGACGAGCCCTAACAAAACGGGAGACGTAGGTCCCTCTTGCTTCGATGAGGGTCAACAGGTCTCAGCGGAGGGTTCGAGTGCTGTAACAGGCACGGGAGCTGTTCCCTACTGTAAGGTCTCCCTCTTTACCTGGTAAATTCATACCTGTTCTTCAGCTGTTTTCGGACCGCAGATAGCCCAAGATGGACGTACCAGAATATAAAAGTATAACATCACAAGTTTCTGTTTCTATGAGATAAGAAATAAATCAATATATTTGACAGTGAAATCAAGAAATTCGTTGATAAGATTTCCAAAATGTTTCCAGCAGTGACTGTGCTTAGGGGCTGAGACCAATGCGCGAACATCTTCGTAAACGGAAATCATCTGCATGTCCTTGTTGATACAACTCGCTCTCATCTCAGTTCGTAGAAGCGTCGGGGTTGGTTCTGTAGACAAACGTCGGTTTAGCTTTGTTTAGTGGGTGGGTAACGTTCCGTGGGATGGGCTGAACAGAAAGGTACCTGCCGTAGAAAGTAATGAGATTAAAGGAACTCTAGTCGATGGGTATTCAAGTATTTGTTCAACAAAAAAAAAAAAAAAAAAAGGTAAAGACTGGTTATAAGCTATGCCATGTCCATTCATAGAAACATAGATGCTTATGTGTTATTTAAAGCTGAGAGACTGTCGGAGAAAAATATTTGATTTTGGATCGAAAAATATTTTAAGTGTGGAAACGGGGCCTAAGTATATAGGTTGGAATGCAATTGGAGAGTTAAAACTCGTGTATTAGTGTAGGTAAAATTCCTGATTCTATGGTGTTCACTGCCCGGCTCTTAAAAAGTCTTGAAGGTGGCAGGCTTGTTATACCGAGAATTTTACCAGCATTTTAGAGGTTTTTGAAACTTTAATCATTAGGGCGTCTCTTAAACGCCGATAAACTTCTACAAGAGAACACTCTTTTGTTCCAGAGTTTCTCAATAATTATATATTATTGCGATGTGTGAGTTTCGAGTTTTTCCGAATGTGGTGAAGATGGCGATGTTGTTCTGGGTTTCGGACACACTACAAGGACGATCAAATCAATTAGGATGAAGATTTCCTCAATTAGGATGAAATTTGCTGGATGTGTAGCGCACATGGGAGACGAGAAATGCACACAAAATGTTGGTTAAAAAACCTAAGCGTAGATAGAAGACTAATGTTATAGTATATTTTCTATAAATTGTATTGGGAGTGTACTGGATTCACCTGGTCCAGGGTACTCTTTCGAACACCATAATGAACTTTGCCTTCCAAAATAGGCTGGTAATGTCTTGCCTACCTAAATGAAATATTATATTTTTAATACGGACTCTGCTTTATGTAGTTAGTTTAGTTTAAATGGATGGTACAAGCGGAAGTTGTGGTTTGTTTGAATATAAATTTGACGAAATATCGAATAAAAATTTCCTTGGATAATATCCATCGTCTAGTAAATATAAAACGTAAAACGACGTTTCGGAGATGGGACTCTATCTCCGTCTTCAGGTTCCTACACAGTTGGGCCCACTAGATAGAGCTAATCCCTATCTCCGGACAAATTAAAAAGTGAAAGTCCCGTTTTACGTTTTATATTTACTAGACGATGGATAATATCCAAGTAAATTTTCATTTAATTGACTCTTCACCATCGTCAAGAAGTTTTAGATTTGATATAAATTACTTCCTTCTGCAGAAGGGACTGAGAAATATCCACGTTTTATCCCAGTCGCGGTTCGAATGTTCTAGATATGTACGGAGAGTGGTAACCACTCAACCAGAATGTTCGATGAACCGAAGTGAGTACGAGCCATTTTCAAACCTCAAAATCAATTGTGCTTTGGGCATAATCCGAGTGCTGTTACTCGCTGTATTTCCAGTCATAGCGGAACTTCACCACCAGGAGATTGTATTACGTGCTAGAATGTGAAATGGTGGATATGTCGGAAACACAGAATCCATCTAACAGACTCTGAAACTTTATGCATATTTTCTTTATTTAAAGCAAAATGAACTCTTATGGTCCACAGTAAGTTCAAAATTAATATTTTATAACTATATAATACAACATATGTTTTACAGTTAACATTTAATTATCGCACGTGTTTGAACTCTGTAACGTCAGCTTCAAAAGTATGTCGTGATAGAACTGTTAAAGATTTAATAGGGGTAAAATTATTTATACAATAATACTTTTAATACTTTTTATATTAGAAATTCGGCTGTTATCGTAATATTGGTTCCCATATTCTGTCATTTCCTTTACAACAAAAGCGACCAGGAACATTTCGAAGAGTGAACTTCATGAAGTTTAGGTAGGTTGTAGGATTTGAGGTTTTTACGGCGGTGAGTTTGAAGATGGCTGTCTTATGGGTTGTTGCGCCGTGTAATCTGGTATATGATGGATGCAGTAAGGACCTCTGAAACGTCGGTAAACTTCTACCAAACTAGACGAGTAGAAACATGCACTGGGTATAAATGAGGAAAACGCAGTAAAGAAATTAACCAGCAATCATAATATCGAATGACATTTTCACGCATGCAGGTTTACGTCGAGAAAACATTATTGAAAATCAAAATAAATTAAAGTATGTCGCAATGCACCATGTCAGCAGAGAAGGCAGCTGTCAACACGACCTTTCATAATCGTCTGTGACAATTTCTTACTTACACTTCATGTACTTTAAAGAGCATTTCTGAATTTTACGCAGTCAATTATATTATTGAAGTTATTGTCAAGGAAATTTCAATAACTTTTCTGACAAAACGTCGCGGCTCAAATTTTGGACAATAGATCGACTGTGATGACTGAAACTTTTCGTAAATTTCCTCTGTTCCCTCCAGGCAAATATGTCGTAGTAACTTAAATTATGACATAACCGCTTTATTCCGTATCCTTTCCAATTTATTATTCATTCGGCTCTGTGTGACTTAAGCCACTGACAGCGTCATTTAATAAACCACATATAAAGTAAGATAAAGTTACAAGACAGCTTCACACATTCAGAATCCATGTTAGTTGAATTAGGGTTGCTAGGCCGGGGTCGTCTTCCGAAAGCATTACAACACCATCGTAAATGAAACCTATATCACAACAGACTGACATAATACCAGTAAGCATAATTTTCTCTTTTTTTTTTTTTGAAGTGGAAAAGTGATTGTTCGTCCCCCCAGCCCCCCACTTCCCGCAACATTTCTTTCTGGAGTCACCATCGGAGACCAATCGGTAGGTCTTGTGCGGGTGCAGCGTATGGGAGCGCAGCCAATGAATGAGCTGGAATGAATATACGCTGGCCTCCGTGAGTACTCCTGAGGGCATGAGCGAGAGATCCAAGCCGCTTTGCTTGGTGGCCTCCGACGGCTGTGCACGTAGCAACGACGCGAGCCGGTCTTTCCTGCATTGTGTTAGTGCGTCTTACTGTCTATGATGCCGGCAGCGGGCGAACCAGCCGAGGATGAAGGGTCCTCAACGTGAAGCGAAATAATTGCTTCGAAATATTGCATATCGTGTGTGGTGTGTTGTGAGGGTGTTTCCAACACCATGTGGCTAAGGCATCAACTCGAGGCGCTTTCTGTCTTGACAACACTCCTCCTGCTTCAACGCACCGCCACAGCCAACTGGATGTAAGTCTTAATCACGCGTGTAATCAGGGCCTATTTGATTGTATCTGTTAAGTGTGACCGCCATACACGTGTGTTCATTTTACTTTCATAATAGACTGTTCTATGGTGTACTTTATTAGTAATGATCACGTGAGAACTGGTCTACCGGAGTGGACATTTTGTGTTTTATCTTGTAAGTGATTCACGTAACGGTAGACTACTTAGACGTTATAATCATGGACGCATATTTTATATACAATTAACGGGGAGAGTACATGTAATCAATACAATAACATACATCGAAACGGGCAAAATTATATAGGCTACGATTATTTGCAAATAGTGCATGTTTAATGACATTGTATAACGCCTCTTATATTTTACAAAGCCTTATGACTCTCTGGAAAGTCGTATTCAGAGAAAAGAATTACGAACCAAGGATATATCAACAATTTCTTTCTGTTTTTACGCTCTATGAAATCACCCGTGACCTGTGGATCGGCGTTATACAGAGTTCTGAAGTTATATATGTATTACGAGAAATATTTGACCTTGAATCTTATATATTTTTAACTTGTGGTGATAATATCTTCATCTGATAGAATTCAGAAAACTCTTGAGTTAGTCCATTTGACTTTGTTGCGCCTTAATTTACAAGAAGTTTAGGCCTGTATGTTCAGTTTCTTTAAGCCTGAAGGTAAGACATAAGCACAGGCGAGAGGTTTTTATTACAATTAATTTTAAACACACAAGATGTGAGGTTATAGACTGGATTCAAGTGGAGCGAATTCAGTTAGTTGTAACTTTGTATTTTATTACAATATACAAGCCGATATCTAAGAAATAAAACAAGTTTCAATTTTACATTTAGACCTAGTTCGATTTAAAGGACAGCATAGTCATATTAGCATATCAACTTCAATGACCATTCATCCAGGATTACCAACATGTTAGTTTATTGAGACATGAAGTAACCTGTCGTTCTGGTTTAAACTCTATCCTAGTAGGGCACTGTACTGTAAAAATACGTAAAAACTGCAAATTCACAGAGAAAAAAGTATTTCTTCTATAAGGGGTAATTCCATATATACATGCCCTCCTGTAGGGCTTATGTAGACGAATCCTTCCATAATAACGTGTTATCAATTGACGGATATTAATTAAAATTTGCATAAATATGATACCCCTAAAGGCAGACTATTTTTAATCTTATATTGTCAATAACACAATCATGTCTGAAGCAATTTTCTGAGGAGGGGTAGTAGCAGTTGTCTATGAAAATAAATTTGAAAGACTTTTAAATACATGTTGGTGTACATTTAATTGTAGAATGTAAAAGCTTGGTGATCGTACGGAATTTGTGTTTAGCATCCTTTTCCGTGGTGATTATGGCCCGAAGCTAGTATTGTGAAATTTGTTATGCGGATACATTATAAAATACCAGAAATTTCTGTGCCAAAGTAGTTTATATTATCAATATAATCATGGTGACGGTTGAGAATTTTCGTAATGAAATCTTTGAAATGCGATTTAATGGGAATCTATCGGAGGGAATAGCGAACAGATAGCCGTCACATTTGCATAGTAATTCATTTATATTACCAGCCTCAACATATAGATTTAAGCATTTGAAGGAATGTAGGTATTGTACAAGTCCTTTTCAGAGCTTTTGGTTGAGAAATGCCGTGTTTTTAACGCTCTACTTGTACGTAACCTCACAATCTGGCA